TAAGAGAATCAAATGCCTAAGAACTGCTAATGGGGGACAGTTTTGTTTTGATGAATTTAATAACTTTTGTAGTGACCATAGTATTGCTTGGCAGTTGATAGTTCTTGGAATACCTCAGCAAAATGGGGTTGATGAGAGAATGCATCGTACCATTATGGACTGTGTCAGGTGCATGTGAATGATGTAGGGTTGGAGTAGTGCTTTTAGGCAAATGCAATTCATATAACTTGTTTCTTAAGTAATAGACGCCTCAGTTCTGCTATTGACCTAGAAGAGGTTTGGACAGGTAAACTAACTGATTAGTTTTTCCTTTATGTTTTAAGTTATGATGCATATTCTTCTATTCCAAAGGAGAAGAGAATTATGCTAGACACAAAATCCAAAAAGTGTTTGTTCTTGGTTATGCTGATGGTACAAAGTGGTATAAATAGTAGAATCCTATTGACCACAAAATTGTAGGTAGTTGAAATGTTATTTTCAATAAAAATTCCATGTAATATAAGAAAGATGAGCCAGATGCAAAAACTGTTGAGGTAGAGTGCACCCATGAGAACCAGCGAGATAGTGATCAGGACTAAGAACCTGAAATTGTCCAAGAACTTAAAGAATATTAAGGTCGTGTTGAATTACGAAGATCTGATAGACTTAAAAAAGGTTGTGAGACTTAATGAATATGTCTTGTTCTATGCTTGCCTAACAAACTAGGGTGAGCCATATTTTTATGTAAGGCATGTGAGGTCAATAAATATGATGAATAGAGAGCATCCATGGAAGAAGAGATGGAGGCCTTGTGGAAGAATAAAATATAAAACCTTATAAAATTACTAATAGGGCAAACATAACCAGCTACTTTCAAATTATTAATAGGACTTTCAAAATACTAATAGGGTAAAAATCATAGCTCGATTGGTTGTGGAAGGTTATGCTCAGAAATCAGGTATTGATTTTTATAAGATTTTCTCTCATGTTGTGTGCATGTCCACTATTATAGTGTTTTTGGCTATGGCTGATATTTTTTATTTAGAGTTGGAACAATTAGATGTGAAAATTGCATTTTTGCATGGTGGCTTAAAAAAAGATATTTATATGACCCTACTTAAGGGTTTTTTGAGGAAGAAGGTAAAGAGATTTTGGTTTGTAAGCTCAAGAAATCGTTTTATGGGTTGAAACATGAGCTGAGGTGTTGATACAAACAATTTGGCTTGTTAAGCTTGACTTTTCGTAGATGTGAAACTGGCCATTGTGCCTATTTTAGTAGTTATGGTGATGGAAGCTTTATTATTTGGTTATTGTATATCCATGACATGATTGTTGCATGACCAAATAAAGAGAATATTGTAATACTTAAAGTTTAGTTGGCTAAAGAATTTGAGATGAAAGAGTTGTGAGCCGTCAATTAAATTCTTGGAATAAGTGTAGAGACAAGAAGAACTGAAAAATCTAGTTAACTCAGAAGAGTTATGTGGAGAGGGTTATGCGGCTCTTCAATATGTAGAATGTTAAACTAGTTAGTTTCCCATTTCCTGTGCATATGAAATTTTCAAAACAATGTATTAGCACCAAAGCAGGTAAGAGACAGATATCTCTAATACCGTATTCATCAATAGTAGGGAGCCTCATGTTTGATATAACTAGCACCAAACTTGACATAGCACAAGCAGTAGGAGTTGTGAGTAGATATATGATAAATCTTGGCTATGAATTTTGGACCGCGATGAAATGGATCATTTGGTATTTAAAAGGAACATGCAATGCTGGTTTTTATTACAGTGGAATGGATTTGAAAGTCGCTGGTTATGTTGGTGAATATTTTGTTGGTGACTTGAATAAAACAAGGTTTACAATTAGATATGTTTTTTCTTTGGGAGGTGGTACAATTAGTTGGTTATCAATGTTGCAGTCTGTGGTTGGCTTCTAAAGAAGCTGAGTTTGTCACTTTCCCATGTATCTAAATAAGTGATTTGGCTAAATAGGTTACTTGATGAATTCCGAGTTGTGCAAGAAGGTATATCGCTTTATTGTGATAACTAGAGTGCCTTGTTTTTAGTAAGGAATCCATCTTTCCATAACAGGACTAAACACATTGATGTTCAGTATTACTTTATTCATGATGTGGTAGAAGATGAGATGTGGTAGAAGATAAAAGAATTTTATTGCAGCAAATTCATACTGATGACGATTTAGCAGATATGTTGACTAAACCCATTGGTAAATGGAAGTTCACTTGGTCTAGGATTTCTATAGGGCTTGTGTTGCTTGATGATTAGTGGTGTGCAACAATCTCTTGGAGCAGAGTAGTCAAAAGAGAAACATGTCTTCAAGTGAGAGAATGTTGTGCATGAAGCCTATTGTGGTTTATCATTTTTTGGAATGTTCCTTTTATTAAGGGAGGTTAACGCTTACAGACATGGGTTGTACGTGATGAGTCTTTTCCATGTATCTTGGAGTTCCTATTTTATAGGAAAGATAAACTATTAATCTAAGAATGGGAAAAATATGGTCATGTAGGTCTTTTGGGTTCTTGTTTACAAAAATAATTTGTTGAGGGAGAAAAGTAGAGATGCAGAAAAAAGAAAAAGAAGAGAGAGAAATGATTAGTTTCTTTAGTCATTAGGTAGGCGTTCTAGCGAGAGAAAGACCTTACGGCTTGGGAGAAGCTTGTATCCCTTGTATTCTCCATACCTACATGATGTTTTTCTGACTGGTTAAAGTGAGCATTGCTGCCTCATAAACATAGGCAATTTGTCGAACCACATAAATCTTTATGTCTCTCTTCTTTTAATGTTTTATTTTTCCCAAATCTTGTTTTTTATCCTCTAACCTGTTTATTTTGTTAGACTTACTGAGGATGAGGAGTGATATAAAATTCTTCTTGGCCTCATGTGATACAAAAAAAGAACAAAAGGCTATCGGTCACTTATTCACATATCTCCATATTTCCAGACTTCCAGGCTCAATCAAACGTAGGTTCTCAACCTTCCTTAAAATTCCAAAGTGGATATCAAACATGTTACTTGCCAATTCAATATCTCAATTCCTAGAAAAGAAGAATTCCTATTTCTAGAACAACTTCCACGCTCCATGTTGTCTTGAGTCCCAAAAGGGGTAACATTCTTGCTTATAGACCCAAAGCGACTTGTGTTTCGGGGCAACATGGAGTAAAACATCTTTTAGCCATACTTTACCTTAGCAAAAGAATCAATCAAAGGGAGAAATACCAGGAAAGGGGGGCTGGGTCGTGGTGGTAGCACCTCCATGTTTAGTTTCTACATTATGGTTTTTAAACACCACCCACTGACACTTTGAAAAAGCTACACTCCCTAATCTATCTAAAAAAATGGGTAGGGGTTCGTCTTGCCCGCTAAATTACCAAAAAGAAAAAAAAAAGGGAGGAATACCATAATTATTTTGGAAAGAACTTTAAAATTTCAACAATGAAAGAGAGCAAAGTGTTGGAGAAGAATTACAGATTTTTGTGAAGAAAAATTAAGGAAAGATAGGGAAGAAAACATTCTCAAACTTTTGGGAAGCAAGAGTGACAAAATAGGGAACTTTTGGGAAGCAAGAGTGACAAAACAAGGAAAGGTTTTTATACTTCCCATGTTGTATAGTAGTTCTCTACTCCCTCCTTTTAATTTAGATCAAATAGGCCATTGACTGTTTGATCTAAATCTGACACCTCGAAGTATTTTATTTTTAGTTTTATTCTATAAATTATATAAATATAAAATTTGGTATGTGCCATCATCTCAATGCGGCACATCCAATAAAATAAAATAACCAAACTATCCTTAAAAATTTTAGAGGTATTTTGGTTATTTTACTTCATCAGGAATAAATGTTTTATATTGTTTGCAGGTGCGAGTTTAAGAGAGGATTAGACGCCAAAACTTCGGTGTCAAAATGTTTTATAAAAAAAAAAACACAACAGTGTAGAGACGTGACGTTGTAATTTGATCCATCTCAGCTGTTCATTCAGCTCTGAGAGCTAGATTAGGGAAAGTATATGACTAGCATACATTAAGGGAAGTATAGAAAGCTTGTCGGAAAAAAAAAGAAGAAGCATAAATTTAGTTTTAAAAAAAAACTCTTAAAATGAGGTAATCCATACAAGTCATTTAGGAAGTTCACAAGGTCATATCATATGTATGTGTGAAAGTTGATCACACAGTAAGGTCCTCCTTTTTGAGACTAGAGAGGGCCTTTCCCAACCTCAAAATTATAGGCCCTGAGTTTGAGCATGAATGGCTAACTCACAGGTCATGTCTCAGCATGTCTGTATGTACTTTGTGGCCGAGCATGGGTGTGAGTATATATAGTCTAAATGGGAGGTGGATCAATAAAGGGTGTGGTTTATGTGTGTATGTACTTTGTGGAGGAGCACGGGTGTGAGGAGCACGGGTGTGAGTATATATAGTCTAAATGGGAGGTGGATCAATAAAGGGTGTGGCTTGTATAAGGTTGCAACCTTAAACAATCCAATAAAGGTGGATCTCCAAATTTTATTATAATATGTAATGGTGGTATAAAAGATTATTAAGATTATCTTAAAATTTATTTTCATGTCTAATTATAAAATTTTAAATTTTAAAAATGGTTAAAATCAAGTAGATCTATAAACAAATGAAAATCTTGAAAATGGACAGCCTAGATAATGTGTTGCAAAATGCACTTTTTTTTGGAACTCAAAATCTTTTTTTTTTCATATTTATACATCTTAATGTTGAGATGATCAATTAGAGGGGTTTTCAACATTAAGACAACATTTTTTGATGGATTTTTTAGGTGGATATATAATTCTACATTTTAAGGTTGCAACCATCATAAAACTTTTTCCATCACTAAATAGAAAGGCGATGTAATAAAAGTAAGAGGGGCGTGGCTGCAATTCCGAACATAAATCAGATACCATCTGACTGAGGAAAGAGAAAATGGCTTATCGGTGCTTATTTAATTCACCCCTGCAACACTACCAGGTCCCCTCTGCAAGCCCCTCCCTCTCTCTCCCTTCACGTGAAATTCTCAGGCCTTTGGGACCTTCTACCTCTCCTTTTTCTCCTCTACATAAACCCATTTTAACCCACACTACCATTAACAGTTCTCTCTCTCTGCCATGGCATCACCTAAGCTCTCTGCAATCCTACTAATTCTCTTCCTCTTTGCCACCCCTCCCATCCTCTCCTGCAACTATTGCTCCCCTCACCCCCACAAATCCAGACGGCACAAACCACCAAAAAAAGCCCCACCCATATCACCAAAACCGCCATTAACCCCACCTCCTGCCACCGTGAAACCACCTATCAACACCCCACCCATCACCACTAAACCACCCACACTCCCTCCTCCTGTCACTGTGAAACCGCCTATAACCACGCCTCCGGTCACGGTTAAGCCACCAATCATCACTCCCCCTGTTATAGTAAAACCCCCGGGTACCCCTCCTCCGGTTATTGTAGAACCACCATATACTCCTCCTATTACTGTCAAACCACCAATTACTACTCCTCCGGTTACCGTGAAACCACCATTTTCACCACCTGGTTGCACCCCACCACCACTACGACCACCGCCTGCAACGTGTCCTGTTGACGCATTGAAGCTTGGCGCCTGTGTGGACATGCTTGGCGGCCTCGTGCATGTGGGTCTCGGCGTGCACGTCGCTGATGAGTGTTGCCCTTTGATTCAGGGCCTTGCTGACATACAAGCCACCTTGTGCCTCTGCAACTCCATTAGAATGAAGCTTCTCAATCTCAAAATCTTTGTGCCCCTCGCTCTAAAGCTTTTGGTCACTTGTGGAATGAACCCTCCTCCTGATTTCGCTTGCCCCATGATGTGAAGGGGGTTGAGTTTCCAGTGGGTTTTCGTTTTTGAAGTGCTATGTGCTCTTCTTTCAATCTGTGTCAAAACTTTTTTTATTTTATTTGAGTGGGTGTTCATGTTGCAGATGCTTGAAAGTAAAAGCTTGGATGTCTTTAAAAAAGTAAAAAATTAGGGCAATAATTTCATGCAACCCTTGTATAGAAATATAATGCAATAATTTTAAAAAATTATCTTATGGCCATTTGTTTAATCCAAAATTTGAAATATACTATCTGTTTATTTTTAATGAACAATCATAAAAAAGAAAAAAATGAAAACACAATCTAGAAAGTACTTTTTTTCCTAATTAACACTGGCTGTTAATTTTAGTGAGATGTTTAGATCTAGACCTTAGAAGGATTTTTTCATTTCTAATTTTTTTAGATGGATTTATTATCATTAGATGAACAATATTAAAAAAGAAAAAAATGATTTTGCGTTTATAAAGGCCAAGATTTTAAAATTCGTAAAATGAATGGTCTAGATTCGTTTTTGGAGGGGACTCATTTTGACCTATCTAAGGTTCAAATTAACCTTCTTTTTTTGGAGGGATTGATTATTGAGATGAAGAGAGTGTGTGTGTAAAATTTGAGACCATACAAATACTACAAATATGATTTTTTAGAAGTGTTCGTTGCATGATACCACAATACAACTGTTATATTGGATAATTGCTCCCAAAATTATAGGGTTGAAACTTGAAAGAGTGTAATTTTCTGCATCATGTACGTAAGGTTACTTGCTGTGTAACCCGTGATCATCAGATTCTCTATCCATTGAGTTTTCCATATCTCTTTCTCGTGACTTTCCCTCATTAACTCTTTTTAACTTTCGAGAAATATATTATTAATTAAAGGCAATGTATACAAGATTATTTACTTTTGGAAAAACTTTATATGAGTAGGAGGTTTGGGCGCACCTCAAGAATTTCATTAGAACAGGGTAATCATCTCGACTTCAAGATCATGAACATGAAAAAAGAATGGATGTAAAAATTTGGAAATAGTGCATCTTGTAATGCATATTTGGGTTGTCAATTATTAAGATCTTTTAGATCGGCTCGTTCTACACTATTTTTTAAGATTTAAATTTTATAATTAGAGATGAAAAGATATTTTAAAGCTATCATAAAGATTTCCAATATTGAAACCATATTTTTCTACAGTATTTGAAGATGTGTTTTATTTTGATTGTTTAGAGAAGTTGTTTAGAGAAGTAGGTCACAAATACTATTAACAGTTAGATGTAAAATAAGATGGTTGGGAATATGACATTTATTAAGTATAATGTCTAAAACAAAATTATTCGAATGTTGCAGCACATTTCAATCTATTAAATAACATATCCAATGTTTAAGAATGGATGTGTCATTCTTGTACCAAAAGTAAATGTTCTCATAATATACAATCCATTAATATATATATATATATATATATATATATAGTCTCATTTTCATTCATATCTCGCCCTCCCACTTTCCATGAAAATTGCATTATGCGTCGAAATTTTTTTGGGACTATAATATACGTATTCGCTGACCTATCGTTCCATTCTTGAGAGAGAATGTCCCCATCAGGTATAAAGCATAATTCATCTAGCTTGCAAAGTTTTAGATTTTTTATTTGATTTCCCAAAATATTGAAGTCATATTTTTTCAATTAACTTACATGTTCTAACTCACATATTTTTTCAATTAATATCACATACTAAGTAAACGAAAACCTAGATCACCTAGTAAATTTGATAACATCTATTTGTAATTTAGAAGTCTTCTAAATTTTCAATTAATGTCATGTGTAAAGAAAATGTTATGTAATAAAACTTCCTAGAAATTTGATAGATCATATTATTTAATTGCCTATAATTTAGAAATTTCCTATATTTCAATTGATATCTTGACTCTCAATTCATTTGAATTGGACTTCCTATTTCTCTATCTTTATAAATCCCTACATTCAATTCATCCAAATTCTGCTTCTTATTCCATTGCTTTACCCAATTCCCAAGTTCTCTCAAGAATAGGAAAAGTAGTGCTCCCTCTCATTTCATTATTTATCAAAGGAAATTAAAGGAAAAGTATCCCAACCATGGTGCACCTTTTCAACGGTTGAGATTTTAGAAGGCGATATTTTTCAATTAAATTCATATTTTATTTTTATTTAAATATTATATTATATGAAAATTTTCATATAAGTTCATTTTTATAGAGAGATCTACATAAAAATAATTAAAAAATATTTCAAATAAAAAAGGGCCAAATATCTCCTAAAATATAGTTGATTAATATATTTTATGTTGAAAATATTTTTTATTTTTTTATTTAATTCTCTTTATAAAAATAAAGCTAAAACCTAAGTTTCATATAAATATAATTTTTAAAATAAAAATAAAAGAATAAGAAAATGGAATTAACTTGTGGTTCTTGAATGAAACTAGGTTCCATCTGAACCATTAAAAGTTGTTTGTGCCACTTTTAATTGTGTACCACCTCTATATTAAAACCTCTCTTTCTCTCCTAAACATATCCAACTCCCATCCTTCCGTGTCGTTCTCATGTTCTCTCTCTCAAATCCTTACCGTTGGGCACAAGCAGTATATTAAATCTAGAAAAAGTGTTTTATGAGTCAGCGGACTCACTAGCCCGCACAATCACAAATGTCCGAACATCTACAACTAAAAATTCCTATCAAATGGATAGGAAAATATTCTAATAAAAATAATTTAAATTTTCTTTTATCATATTTTATTTTTTATTTGTGATTATTATAGTGTAGATCATAGATCACTGCAAATTTGGATCGAAAATTGATTCAAATAATGGGTGTTCAAGGGGGTCCTGCATGCAAATAATATGAGTCGGTGGAATCATAAAAATCGGATCCTTAAATCTATTATCCATGGGGGTTTGTCACATCAGTCAAGCTCATCATTCATCTGTCTCTCATATCATATAAGGAACATGAGCCTCTTAACCAACATCAAATTAAGAGACCCACAACAGCTGCATGTTGCTTGTGGTTTCCATAAAAGGATTTTTGTAGTATCAAATTGGAGGAGAAATACTCATAATGTCTGGGTAAAATGCGACTTTTTAATGGAAATTGAGAGCCACCCTCTTCATATGGGTTTTTCATTGCAGGTTTTAAAAATTGGGCAGGTGAATCCAAATGGGCATCTTCATTTTTAATCCTGTTTGGCGAACCGGTCTACCAAATCAGTCATTAAAAAATTTAAAAAATATAAAAAGTGGGGTTGGTTACGTGATATGGGGGAGAACCAACCGGTTCCTAATATTTCATGGGAACTGATTTGTCCCCAACAATTTTCGACCAGATCAATAGGTTCTGATCGGCATTGGTATTTTTTAAAAGATTCCCTACAAAAAAATCATTTAGCTTTTGTATATGGAGGTCACAATCTTTTTGTCATTTAAATTTCAAAATGGGTACATGAAAGAGTCTCATTAAATAGACACAGTTCAAATTTTGTTTTTTCAGACTTCGTGACTCACCCCAAACCATCTAATTTGATATGTAATAAGTGAGAATGATTGTGACCACGACGTAGAAAAAAAAAATGGTCTCTTTGCATACATTCCGGTTATTAAACTTGTTAACAATTCTTTTGAAACAAATAATTTGTACGGCATGAGTGACAAACTCCCCCAAAAACTCCTAAGGTTTGGCCCAGTAGGAGTGTCTATAGGATGGTTGAAGCTCTTCCAAACATGAAGTTGCAGTAGTCTTGCATGACGGTCGAGGCAATGGTGCTGTTGGCCATGTTGGCTCTCCATATCTGTTTGGCAGTTTGGACATTGAGAAACAGCTCACCTCCGGTCTTTAACTCCAATGTGGAACCTCTAGGCAGCAGGAGGTCCCTATTTGCAGACCAAATCAAGGTTTTGGAGAGGATCTTGTCGAACCATTTGCTCAAAAGGAAGGTCTGGTTGAGCGGCTCTGTGGCCTAGAATCGGAAGGAGAAATGGCGTGAAGGGTTGAGCCATGAAGATGGGTCCCGTATTGAGGAAGTGAGAGAGGAGCGCAAGGCTACACTAAGGTCAGAACTAGCATGGGAAGAGGGAACATAGGTAAAGAGCACAGAGAGAAGCACAAAGAGATGAGGCCCATCTTCCATATGCCTGGGGGCCGACTCGCTAGAATGGCTCAAGACATCTACGAATCAGTGTTTATAAAGTAGGACTCAGTTCTGGCATGCCAATGTCATGAACCTACGTCCCTCACGCCAACTGGACGAGAGTTCCCTCAATCCAACTGGACAAGCAGGCCTAAGTATCCTTACTTCGATTTGGCGAGTTAGCTTGTAACCTGAGTACCACCACATTAACTGGACGAGTCGGCCTGATAACCCAAGTACTCCCTACTCTGACTGGGAGAGTAAGATAGGGGAGTTTCCAAACACGTCTTTTATTAATGGTTGATGGTCCAAGGTGAATGATATCCTCAATCAAATTGCTAAAATGGAGGACATCTATTCAAATTGAAAGCCAGCAAAAGTCATGAAGTTTTTCATCAGGACTTGTTGGGAGTTATCAAAACTTTCGAATCGAAATGCAAATATTGAATTTCAAATTTTGAATTTCTATACACTTTCTAATTTCATAGGATTTTGTATTGATGTGCACTATCTAATTTTTTAGTATTTTGTATTGATGTACATTTTCTATTTTTGTTAAATAGATCCTTACAATCAAGGGATTGCAACCTCTTCTATTCTCTACATATACCCCGTTTGGTTTATACAATCTATTCAAAATTGTTCCATTCAAATTGTTATAGAACTTAACATGGTATCAGAGCAAGGTTTACCTTCTCTGTAGATTGATTTTGTCACGTCTCACAGACGTGCAGTGCACAAGGTCTTTTCACGGTTGTTTGAGAGAGGATCTTTTCCCGCTGTCCGCGAGAGGAAAAAATCACGCCCCAGCCAACTGGTGTCTCCACTGAGGACACACCACCCTATAGTTGGCTCGGGTTGTTCTCAGGAAAACACTTCACTTCTTTTTCTTTCTAAAACTACAATGGAGTCCCATTACTCCTCTTTTATCCAAATTGGGGACTTCATCATCCCCATATTTGCGACCTCTTCTATGGAGAGCGGAATGACTAACCTGCTTCTCCCCTGTCCTCCTCAAACCGCCTTGTCGGCCCTACCATCCTAGTTTAGGCTAGAAAGATTAAGGGAAGAGGTGCTCAAACG